GTAGTGATATGATGTTTTGGGTAAAGTTTCCAATAGACATATGCACTTCCATTATATCACAAATGAAGCATTCATATGAGTATGTTTTGAATTATGCATGAAAGTAGACATTTTTTACATGTCTAGCTACTGAATTGAGATGTCCAGGGGATATATGGCGCCGGAACTGTCGTTAGCTGGGCCTACAGCGTCAACCAAGTCAGATGTGCACTCCTTTGGCGTCATCCTCCTTGAGGCCATTAGCCTCATGTGCGCTACATCTGAAAAAGGCCATCCCAGAGATGCAAAAGAATGGGTAGGTTGTATATACTGCACTGGAAAGCAAAGCCGTAACAACAACATTTTTATTATTCAACTTTCAGAATGAACAAACAACATTGTTATTCCTGAGTCTCAGATTGTATTGTTTACGTATAACTGAGCTTAATTGCAATCAGTAATATGTCGCATTGCCTTTCGTTTTCACCTTGCTCGCAGCTTGATAGGACGCAGGGAACAGAACTGAGGGATCTATTCGATACACGACTGGTAGATGGCGAGTTACAACAAATGGTGGCAACAAGGTGCGTGCTTGTGGGGCTCATGTGCTGTCTACCTGATCCGGCAGGCCGGCCCTCCATGCAGCAGGTTGTTGACATGCTTGCTGGTTCGTGTGCGGAACAAAACGGCAGCACAAATATAGCTAGCAGTAGCAATACCGGGTAACTCTTTGCTACAAACCTCTCTCTCTCTCTCTCTCTCTCTCTCTCTCTCTCTCTCTCTCTCATGTGTGCATCACCGTGACTAATTAAGTAATATACTTTTTATGCGACATATATATGTAGCTCATTTGGAGATATAGGGTTCCTTTAGTCTTTCTTTAGTAACGGAGGAGATCGTATTTAAAATTCATATTTAGGAGATTATTAATTGTACAATATTTTATAGTCATACATGTGGGTAATTTATATAAAAATTAGGAATTATGTTTGGCAATTTTATAGTGGTTGCGTAGTTTAGATTAGGATTACTAGTCCATCAATCCGTGCTCTCGCACGGTCTAGAATTTTAGGAGATATAAGTATTATGTACTATTTAAAATTTCCTCTTTTAGAATTATAAGACTTTTTGACTTTTCAAGATATATTTGTTTATAATATGTATCTAGACAATATGTAAGTGTATAGCAAAAGTTATGTATTTAGAAAACTCAAAATTACTTATAATTTGGAACGGAGGGAGTAGATCTGACTAATAAAGAATTACTTATATTCAATGTATGTTTTTTCTCTTTGTTTATTTTCTAACATAATAGATACTCTGTTGTTTATATCTAGTTATCATAAACTTATTAGTTACTATTTTTCCAAGGCACTAATCTATAAATTTTTTATCTATATTCATATTTTTCCTTTGTACGACACCTCTATATATTTTAAATATGCAATTACTTTGAAACCTTACCATTAATCATGGTGGCTATTGTTGCATCATGTATCTTATGATGTCATGAATCTAAATTTTGATTTTTCAAATTTTATTCTTATCAAGTGCTATAGATATTTTTCTCTCTTCAAGTTAAGTTGAAACTCTTGTGCTTATTATTGTATCTTTTATTACAACAATACCATGAGTCATTGTTTTGAATACATGCACCATATGCTTAAGATAAGTCACAGAGCTTGGAGTGAGATCTCGGTAGCCATGCTAACCTCAGAGAGATTTTAATACTTAAACCTTATAATGATTGATATATTTACTCTAAAGTATTCTCAAAGGGCCAGAAAATATAGCCATTAGTGGTCTCCCACACTTCTTAAGATGATTGAATTTTCCTATCAAGGAATTATATTTGTAGTTATGGTTATACTATCAATATAGACATGCCAAACATTTAAATAAAATACATAAATATATCTAAAGTAATAATCTATATAAATTATATGTTATGGTTATTTGGTTTTAAATAATTTGTTAGTATCATTAGTATATGAGTTGTTAAAAAAATATTTTTATATATAATGAAACATAACATATGTTTTTTATTGCTCAATGCAAGTTGGCATGACACGTATATTTACTATAATCAAATTTTACTATATTAATATTGAAGAGGTGGAGTAATATAGAAACATATATATGTTGTACTCGTTATCTATATTTTTTTGTAATAGGAGATGTTGATAATTTAGATGTAGATTTGAGGTGTATTTAATTTTACTAATAATGAGATGAAATTGAGTTATGGAAATTATCGATAATAATAAGAGTATGCTGATACTTAAATGCAAATTTAGGTCCAGTTTAGATCATGTTTCTTAATGACATTTGTGGGTACTATAGATTATAGTCATGAGTTAGTTTATATTGGTTTACAAAATAACAGAAGTGGACAATTATTTGTAAAATATAATAGATCCAATAGCTATTATTATTATCAGTGGTGATTAGGTTATACCTAATTCATGGTAAGATGTTTCTGGTTTTTATGAGAATTTATAGGATCTATCTTTTGTTTTCCTGTCAAGTCTTGTGATGATTAACATGAAGGCTCTAATGGGGACCTCTAGTTAGAATTTCTAGTATTTTTTTTCTAGTGTGATTTTGAAATCTAGTCTTAATATATATAAACTTTTGATACAACCCTTTTTGTGACTTCGTAAATCTATAGTTTATATTTAATCTTTTAATCAAGTTGTTACAATTTTTTCACATGCTAATTAAAAATTATATTATTCTTTATGTTTTATTCGAAAATTGTTTTTTATATAAAAAGAGTCTATGTCCTAGTAGCATTGTTTTCCACATAAGTTGAAACTCAGCTTGCAACCCAACAATAAACATGTTGAATTTATTATATCAAAATTATTATATAGAGAGAGAGCGCATAAAATTAAATTATGATATGACACAATGTTTCAATAAAAATGTATAAACTTATTTAAAATAATAACTTTTCAAAATTATTATCATGGAGTATTAATACAAACTGTTATTGCTACATGGTTTGTTTAGTGAATATTTTTCCATGCTCCACAAGTTGTTAAAATAAATATTTATCCTAATGTATACATGTTTATTTGATATACATGATGGGACATAGCAATATAGTTGTTTTATTTCACGATTATAGAAGCATGTAACTTAGAAATATATATATGTATCATAATTTATGGATACTAATTTATTTTTTAAATATATATATATATATATATATTATTTATATGTAGATTTAATAGTTTTTTTGTTTATTTTTTATAATGGCTAAAGTACATACAAATATAAAGGTAAAACCTTATGTTATCTTTCACAACGGCATATATGGATAGGTTAAATACAAACTTAGAAAATTACTTTGCATTATCTTTCATAATGATGAAGGTGGATAATTTATAAAATCATTAGAAGGTATTTTAAATTATCATTCATAATTATAGATGTGGGTAATTTAAATACAAAGTTAGAGGGATTGTTTTAAATTATCTTTCATAATGACAAAGCTAGGTCATTTAGACGCAATGTTAGGGGGTAACATGGTGCCTCCGTTGGAGCCTCTTATTAGTAATAGTAAGGATTTTAAATTATGTTTTATAATGGTCAAGGTGGGTAATTTTGATGCAAATCTAGGGGTTATTTTGAATTATTCTTCGTAATGGCAAATGTGAGTATTTTGAATTATCTTTTGTAATGACAGAGGTGGGTAATTTACATGGAAAATTAGGGGGTTACTTTATGTATTTTCATAATGGTAGTGGTGGATAATTTTTTTAATGAGCTATACAATAGATCCAATGGCTATTATGGGTGATGATGCTTAGAGTCTATTGAATCAAAGATTAGATGTTTCTGATTATTATGAGGATTTTTACAATTTATCTTTTTTCCTGGTGCGTCTGGTGAAAATTAATATGGTGTCTTTATTGGGGCCTCTAATTAGTGATAGTAACGATTATGGGTTTATTTTACACTATTTTCGTAATGGCGGAGATGAATAATTTTTGGATAGTAGATATATGCCCGTGCGTTGCACCGGGGTCACATTTGTTTGGACTGAACCCCAGTAATCGAATGCAGGTGCGTGAGTTCTGAGATCTTCGTATCGGACGCCGATACGTTATATCCTATTTTCGTTGTAGAACCGGATAGGACGCGAACATGTGAGCTTCGAGTGGAGGTTGATTCATATCGGATGCGGACGCGTAAGCAGGGATCGAAACTTGATATTACTAAATAGATGAAGACGTTACAGTATTTTTAGGTGTAGAGATTCATTCAACATTTATTAAATTTATTATCCATATCTAAATCATAGAAATATACTACTCTTGCCAATTAATTTGGCAAATTTTAAATCTCATAGTTTTAAATGGCAAGATCAGAAAATTGTCTTTGGAGGTGCTCAAAATGGTAGGACGTGTGTACGTGCGTTCATAGGAGATGAGTGTATTACTTGATTCACAAAAAATGTCAAGATATTTCTTCTTTGTGTAGTATATTTGAAAAAAACCTAACTTTTTCATGTGAGCTCAGATATACAATTTATATATGACATTGCAGAGCTTGATGAGACGTACAACTTTATAGTTTGTTACTTTTTTATTTAAGGCCGTTTTATACTGAATTTAAAACAATTTGATACGATCATTTATTTGCGCAAGCCTTCCTAATTTAGCGATGAATTTTGATTCGTTATTTCATCGTTGCACAGTTGTATGAGTAACATAGTATGGCAGAGTTTATTTGCATGGAATATAAAATACAATAAAAATAGAAGAGTTTACTTATTTTCATAATGGCAGAGATGAGTAATTTTTGGGTAAGTAAACAAAACATCTAGTAGTGGGTATTAATGTCAACGATGATTGGGACCATGGAACAGCTGTCTGGATGTTTCTAACTTTCATTTTGAGTGAACTTATATGATTCATCCGGTTGATTTATTGTTGTTGGATATGGATGGACTCAGTAAGGAATTGAATTAACTTCTTCACTTCTTGTTTAATAGCACAAGGGCCCGCGACATGGAGGGAATAAGGTACAATGTCTTGACTCAGGACGACCTCCGCGTGCGGCTAGAGGTGGACACGCACAAGGTGGGCGAATTGCTGTCCATCACCCCGGGGCTCGCCGCGGTCCTCCTGCGCCACTGCCAATGGAGACCCGAGCGCGTCCAGGGCGCGTGGTTCGACAACGGGGAGGCGTTCCGCGTCGACGTTGGCCTGCCATCGTCGGAGGACGACGTCTCCGGTCCCAGGGTGCTCACAGGCCGCACGCCCAATTGCCAATGCTTCGACGGCAGCGCCGGCCGGCCGTCCAGATCGTCGGGTTGCTCCCACTACTTCTGCGACGAGTGCTGGCGGAGGTACATCCGCGTGGCCATGGACGACGAAGACCCGCGGTGCCTGCCGCTGCAGTGCCCGGAACCGTTATGCGCGGTGCCCGTCGTGCGGGAGCTAGTCGTTGATGTGGTCCACGACGCCGACGCGGACACCTTGCTGGCCCAGTACGATCGGTTCATGCTCCTGTCCTACGTGGATGACAGTGGCGGCAGGATCCAGTGGTGCCATGGCCGCGGTTGCAGCCGTGCCGTCGAGTTCCTCGGCAGCAGCGATGGCGATGATTCTGTTTCCACGGACGTGTTCTGCGAGTGCAGGCACGGCTTCTGCTGGACATGTGGCAAGGAGCCTCACCGTCCGGTGTCGTGCGACGCGGCGCAAGCATGGGTGGACGAGAATAGGCCGCCTAAGGCTTCGCTGGACGACCAGTTGCTGGAGAAGGCACTCAGGGACATGGACGACCTTAAGAGCTCCTGGCTCGAGAACATGGCCACTGATCTGGGCATCGAGGTGACGGACCTCGATTTTGTGACCCAAGCGTACGAGGAGATCGCCGAATGCCGGCGCAGGATCCGGTGGGTGCACGCATACGGCTCCTACTACCTGGACCCGGAGCGTGACAGGAACAAGTGCGAGCTGTTCGGCTGCTTGCTCAAGGAAGCCAAGGATTCGCTTGACAGCCTGCAACTCTGCGCCGAGCAGGAGAGACTGACGCTCTGCACCACCGAGGTGGTAGCCATTGCCGAGACGTACTCGGCCTCCAAGAAGACGGTCATGGACCACACTAGAGAGACGCGGCAGCACTTCGACAATCTGGTGAAAGCGGCAGAGACCCATTTTCAAGACTAATGCTTCGGTTTGATTATGTTCACCCATAATTCTGCTAGCTGCTTATTACTTGTTTATTTTCGATAGAAAATAAATGTACACCTTCGTTCTTCCTGTCTCATGTCTCGGAGTGGACCTTGCTTAAATAAGCAAAGTGCTTTGTTTGTCATGAAATATAGTTCACGTGTCCCCGTTGATTGGCCAATCTCCGAGGAGTCGGGCTTTCCAACCTGCTTTTGCTTTCCGAAAAGCCAATGAGAAGACTGCAAAGCCTTAGATGCTTTGGCTCAAAAGCAGGTTTCCCTCAAGTACAAATCCAAAAGCAGGTTCCTTCCTGCTTTAACCGAGTTTTTCGTTTTTCCTCTTCTATACTGTCCGAGCATCTCTTCAGCGTGGTATGCCGCCGCCCCAAAGCTAGGATTTCCGCCGGCGCGACTTGTCCCCAGCCGGCCGCCGAAAACGTAGCCACCGCCCCACGGCTGTTCCCTCAAGCCCTCCCACCGATCCGCACGCACGGCAGCTCCCTCCCCTCCCATCGATCCGCACGCACGGGCCGTGGCCACCACTCTCCGCTCCAGGAGGGCGGCGCAGCAGTGAGAACAACCACGCGAGCGCCGGCCAAGCCGTGCACCATGCCGTGCTTTGTGCTATGTAATGGACGAGAAAGGCCACCGTGCCACACCCATGTCACCTTGCTGTCTTCCTATAGAAAAATAAAAGAAGAAATACATTTAGAATACACTTATACCTACCTGTACAGGCAACAAGCATAAACCGTACTTCTCTAGATGTGTGGCCACGATCACCTAGCAAGCTACCTCTTCACAATGCAATCCCTGCCCACACGATGGATGCAAAACTTAAAAAAAACAATTTTTTTCCTTTCTAAAATATTCATTTACATGCGAATTAGTGAATACATTAGTTTTTTAGAGCAATCTACAGACAAACAGTCTCACAGCCCTTCAAGGGTATTACAAGTCACTACTACGGTAAGCATTTATAGGGGCGGCTGGTGATGGTTTGTAAAGGCGGTTTTACCATCCGCCCCTATCACACCGTCTCTATAAATCAAGGATTTGTAGGGGTGGTTCCCAAGCCGTCCCTATAAATTGATTTGTAGAGGCGGCTTGTGCCACCAGCCGCCCCTACAACTGTATTTGTAGGGGTGGTTGTAACACGTCCCTATAATTTCTATTTGTAGTGACGGTTAACTCTAGAACCGCCCCTACGGTACATTTTCACACAAAAAAATTAAAATTTGAAAATTTAAATATAATTCACATATATACATATATATATAATATATAATTCACAAGGATATTATATCAACAATTAATTGACAAGAAGATATATGCATTACAAACCCATAATAATTTAAATTACTTCATTACAAACACATTCATTACAAACACATAATAATTTAAATTTGTTCATTACAAACCATAATAATTTAGATCAGTTCATTATTACAACTAACAGTAATTTAACTTTCTAGAATTTTCTAACGTCGTACCACGTACTCGGAGAAGTGCAGATCATTCATTTCATATGCCAAAATATCACTGATGTAGCGCAATATATTTACTAGTGCACTCTCCCTTGCTTCACAAGATCGTTCACAAGGTCTACTGTCGACGATCAGCATTGGTCAAGAATCTTCATTCCTAGTCACAAGATTTTTTTCCTAAATTCCTTTTAAAGTGAGAACAGGGCCACCATATTCCCATTTATAACGACCCAAGTGATACATGCCTAGTTTAAAATGGCTTCAAAGCTACAACTTGCGTATGTTACGTCGCTCTCCTAAATCTGCAAGTGTTGGGGAAAATGTGATTATCAGAACCATACATATATATAGATATAACAATTAATCTGGATATAAGTTATGAGACTGACCACATCATTCATGTTGTCCTCAACAAGCTGTGCACAAAACAGTCCAATATCGTGGTGGAGGCCCACATTCAAAGCAGCAATCCTCATGGAGGAGTATGTAGGAATATTGTACCCAATATTTTGAAGCGCCCTTAAACATGCTTGCATAGTATATTTTTGCGCAACAATGTCATGAGGTTGACCGCTGCTCGTCCTATCGATGTATAAAACCATACCTTGTTGGTTACCCGCCCTAGCGAGAATACAAAAGCCAATTCGACATTGCTTGAGTCGACCATCTATAGGGAATGTACCAACATTGAGGAACTCAACCCCAAAATTTGATAGTGCCTCTCTGAACCATGGTATATGATTAATTGTTTACATTTAAGAATTATATATATCAGAACAAAATATCTATAGAAGTGTCTTTAAAACATGTTACTTACTATGCTTGATATGGGTGGTTTGCCCTCCCCAATGCTGGTTAGAAGCCCAGATCATACATATAATTATTTGGCAGATCCGGCGAAGGGAGTTCGGTCATATCTTCTCCCAAATTTATGTCAAGGAAAAGAGTTATAGTAGAGGAACAAGAGAGGAGAGGAGTAGGAGAAGTAGGAGCACAGGACAGGAGAGGAGAAGAGTAGAAGTAGTAGGAATAGGAGAGGAGGGTCTACAAAGCAGCATCAGTATTATTAATATATAATGTTGCATTACAACCAAAATATTGCTGCCAACATAAATTAGTGTTATCCAAACAAATAGGTCTTAGACACCAAAATTAAATCATCATGCAATTGTGTTATCCAACTACATCGACCATCTAATTGTGTCATCACAGGCCTAATGTCACACCTTAAAATTCTTATTTTGGGTTGTGAATAGGAAACACTAAATAAAAAAATGATTTCAATATTTGTATAAACTTTTTCAAGATTAAGTAAGTTTCAAATTGTGTTTTCAAACTTTTCATATTAATATGACGGGCTTGTTTTCTTGATGTGATGTTTGCTTGTTGCTTGACTTGGTGTTACGAGTGAGTAAAATTTTCAACACACGTTTAGTAAGTCGTTTATCTTTCGCCAGCCCGTGCTTGTCTTTTCTAATAATTAAAATTCCTTGTTTTCTAGCTTAATTCTTTCGTTGGAGCTTCCCAAACTCTTTTCGTTCTACTCCGAATCACTCATTTGAGTTTCTCATCCATCAAAATATCTCTAAAAACTTCTCGTGAATTTTTTTTCAGCTTTTTCTAGAATTCGTTCTCACATTTTTGCTAGCATAATCTAATTTACATATGCTCCAAAATATATTTTATTGAGCTTCAAATACTTTGGTTAGGTTCCTCATGTTCCAAAATGTCTCTGAGAATTTTTCCCAAATCTTCATAATCTTCGGAGTATTTTTCGTGGCTTAAATAATAATTCTAGACTTTCTAGAATTGGTTTTAGTCATAAAACACATTAATTCCGAAATAATAAAATCTAGTACTTTTCCATCTTGGTTTTTAACCAAGCGCATATAAATACATGCTACGTTTCTCTCTTTGATCTTATTGAGGATCTGAAATCCTTTTTCCGGAGTCGCCGCCGCCAAAGTTCTGCTGTCCCAGCACCCATCGATCTCTTGGTTCAGCCGGCTGCCCGTCAGAACTCTGGTGGTCGTCATCGCTACATCAAACGCATAGCTGCATCCGGTCGTTTCTCTCATCCTGCCGCTGAGCTTAGCCGCCCTGCTCGGTTTCTACTCGTCGTCTTTGCTAGTTCACGCTGCACGCCGGCGTTCCAGTACGTTCTGGGCACCTGCGTCCTTGCCAGCTGCTGTCATGCCAGCAACCAGAAGGATACAAAGCAAGTCAAGACTCTTACTGCCTTCTCCTGCCGGTTTGGCGTGCTTCCCTGGTTGCTGTCTGCAGCAATCGATCAAAACCGAAACCAGCTGTCAACTAGCTCTGACCGTTGTGTTCTGGAAGAAAATAGAACTCACATCCATGCAAGTACGTGTCCGGCCAAGGAAGAAATAGCAGCCTTATATGACCAAGCACAGTACGTATCTATCTTTCTTTTAATCCTCTTTATCCGTTGCTAACTCTTGATATCCATATGTAGCTATTCTCGTCAAAGATTATCCATCACCGTTTGTTTGTTTCAGCTCTGAATTACCCAAAGTGGATTAACATGCATACCACTAGTTTTCTAATTTGAAAGCAGTATTAGTTTGCTAATATTAACATGATCTTCATCAGGTATTAGCTTTCTTAGCTTAGACACACATCGTATATAGCTTGTTTGGATACTCTCTTGAATGTTTCTGTATTTTATAAATTAAATACTAATTTGATTAGTGTGCTTGCTATATCAGTTTTCTGAATAAAAAGTAATAATAAACATAGGTTCCACACCAAGGTCTTTCTGAAACGAATGTTAATAATATTGTTAACTGTTAACCAAAAATGTTTTTTTAATTATAACTTTGCTTAGCTCAGTCATGCATCGCATATATATAATTTGAACATATATTCTCACGTGTTTTTCCTTGTTTAATGTTTAATTTGACTTAAATTACATGGTCATAATTCTTAATAGAATATGACTAATTCTAACTCAACTTTTAAATTAAATATGTTTTTATTAGAATTAGTGTAGCTGAACCCACGTCACGTTCAGTTGTAGTAGATGTGCTCACATTGTTCTTTTATTCTGAAAAGTTAAAGTTTATTTTGATTAAATAACACATGCATGTCTATAAATATAAAATATGGTTAAACTCGACTTTTCAAATTAAAAATGTTTTGACCAGTTTCAATTATTGTTCTTCACTTGGTTTTAATGAGTTAAAATAAATCAATAGTCGTTAGTCTTATAATATATATAAAAGCTCCTGATAGTCGTTTCCTACGCTCTCGCGGTCGTAGTAACGTTTAGTACGATGTTTTCTCTTATGTGGTGTGTTGTCTTAGTCTACTTTGTTTCTTGTATGTTTGCCTTTGCGTGGTGTTTGCTTCGAGTAGAACAAGAACCGTTTGCGAACGCTGGAGATCAGAAGTTGAGTGCCCGAAGCTGCAGAAGTTGTAGAATGGAAGATAAAGTTGGGGCTTCTCTGAGCAAGTTGCTTTGGGTGTAAAGTAAGTTAAAGGCAAGTAT